AAAAAAAAAAAAAAAAAAAAAAAAGGAGAACCCGCCCCCTAGAGGTCGTGGGTGGCTAGGGTGACCATGTCATCTACTTCTTGGCCAATTCTGCTTTTCTGAAATTAGGTCCTGGGAACTGAGTAAACTAAAGGTTCGTAGGCTTCAAGGTGTGCCTGGGCACATTGTCTTGTGTCTCCCCCCAAGTCCCCATAAGATGACAGCAAGGAGAAGTGTTGTGGGCAAGAGGGATATGGCCTCCTCATATTGGCTGTGAGGAGCAGAAATGAACTTTGGTACCATATAGCACCCTTCAGGGAGGGCACCTGCATCTGTGTTTTAAGAATGAATAGCAAACTATATTAAACAGTTCTGTTATGACAAATGTTGGCCATCTTCACCGTCTTTATTTAGTTGCTATTTGAATAAATTTGTTCAATCTGTTTATCATCATTGTTTTTCTCAGTGTCAACCCGTATCTTCTGCTGATTGGTCCAAGGATATTCGAGCTTGCAAGATTTTAAGTGCACAGTCTTTGAATATGTGGTTGATTTTATGTAGCAACAGAATGGAAATTGTGACCGAGAGCTTTGTGAACTGCTTGAGAAAAGTGGGAAGTGCCATGGGATTTAATGTGGACTACCCCAAAATGTGAGAATACTCTGAATTTTTTTTCATATATTAATTTGGTTTAGTCGGAAGGTAGGAAATAATGGCTGATATATCTACAAAAGCTTCTTAATCTCAGTAAAATTTCCTATTATAAAATGCCAAGAAAATAGTCGTAAGTAAACAGTTTTTGTAATGACTAAATTTTTATAAAGTTAAAATGTGTTTTATGTTGTTCTTTCTACGACTTTGTTTTCACAGTTCTTAAATGATAGTCTCATTCCCTGAAAATCTTTTCAGTACTAGTTGGGGTGTGAATCCTTAATAAGTCTGCATATTGCCTTCTCAACCTTTTTTCTTCTTTCATATCAGTATTTATTACTGATATGAATCATATCAGTTTATCATATCAGTTATTTACTTAACAGCAAACAGGATATTAAAAATAAAAGTTGTATGCCTTGACTTATTTGATAGATTTGTGCTTTAAAATTTAACATAAAAATAGATGTAAAATAAGCTTTTCTGATTCTATTACTGTAGCATAAGATTAGTCAGTTTTCTGATAAAACCAAGGTCATTCATTCATTCTTAGAATATTTATTGAGTACTACTGTGTGCTAGATACTATGCCAGTTGCTGGAGATTAGAAAGATAAATAAGTTGCTTTCACTTTAGTAAGAGATATATATATAATCACACTCAAAATTGAATATTGTTTTGCTTTAGAAAAGCCATAAAGTTGGTCACGCCTCACTTTATTTAACCTGATATGCTTAGAAAAGAGCAACAGATACTCGTTTTTCTTTGTTATAGTGGAAGTGCAAGTGTCCTAATTGGCAAGGTGGAAAGTTATTCTTTAAACAAGTAGTTAATATTATAATTAATTATAAGACATCAACAGCACAAGTGTTGTTGAAAACCGTAGTAAGTCTCATTTTACATGGTTGTTTAGAATTCTCCTCTTATCAAATCTGTTGACAAATCACCTGGTTCGAATTTCACTTGCTCTAATTTCTCTTAACCATGAGCTAATGAAGCAAGAAAAGATGATGAAAGAAGCCACAGTCTGCAGACCCTGGGCTGACGTCACAGGCTCTTTTTCACATGCATTCTGTGAACAAGCCTTCTATTGGGTTCTGTCCTTGGCCTGTTTTATTTGAAAGCTTATATTTTATTCCATCCTTTTTCTTTCCCATGAAGTATCTATTTACCTGTTAGATTTATATGCATAGCTTCTCTCATCTAAAACATTTGCCTGATGATTTTACAAGGACTGGACGGAAAGAGCAGCTAAGTCAGAGGACAAGATGAATTGGAAAAGTCAAAACCGTTTAGTTGCTGAGACGGTGCTGTGGGCTTTTCACGTAGCTCTGTCAGAATCAGCAGTCAGGGGTTAGTGGTTCTGCCACCTGCTGGGCAAGTTTTAAAAGTCTACTGGGCATTGGAACGAGTCAATCATGTATACATAAAAGAGGCTGATTTCTACATAAAGAAACTAGATTCATAAATTCCTGTGTGTGGGAATTATGTATGTAGCCTCTGGGCCCTAACATAATGTAAGCACAGATTATATAATTGATAAGTAGCTGCTGACTCATTGATTAATATTCCAGGTTCCAAACAAGCTGCCACCAAGGAAAAAAAAATATTTTTGTCTGAATCATTCAGATTAGCTGAATACTTTTTTTATTTCAGCATATTATGGGGGTACAGATGTTTAGGTTACGTATGTTGCCCTTGACCCCCCTCCCCCCCTAAGTCCGAGTTTCAAATATGTTAGCTGAATATTTTGATGATTCATTAACCTGATGTTTTCTGAAACATTTACTTTAAAATTCCCATGGAGCTTCAGTATTGGAGAAATCTTAATTCTGGTTTAGCTTGAACCCTGTTTTCAGATACTTCATGTTATGAGACTTGTGATTTCAAAAGCACATTTCGAACCCCATTTTGAACAGTATTATTAATTGTAGGGGTTCTGTAGAGTTGAGAACATTTTGTTTTCCACCAAACTGTTTTTAGGCTTTAAAAATGATTATTAAATGTTTTTGGCATATATTTTATAGTGAGAGAAACTACTTTAGACTCAAAAGGTTTTTATTTTTCTCTAATAATTTTTTTCCTGAAATTACTAGTCTGTTATGAAAATTTATCTGTACTATTTCTAATGCCATATGACTATATCCTACTAAGAAGGGAATTACATGGCTTCAAAATTAATCTTTTTATGTAGCATAAAAGTACAAGAAAATCCAGCTGCGTTTCTTAGAGCTATACAACAACATGTTCATCCTGATGTTCAGTTGGTAAGTATAGGATACTTTTTGGGTTTTGATGTATAATTTTATTTTTACTTTATATCTACAGTCTTAAAATAAGAGATTTGAACATACTTTCCCATAATATGTTTGTAAGTTGCCATGCATTTCCCCAAAGCACACAACAAAGTATTAAAATTAGTAATCAATATTTTATTTCTCTTTTATAACATTAATTTTAAAATACAGTACTTCTTGTTACCCCTATATCGGCCTCTTGGATGTCTGCATATTTTCCAATTTGTTGGGGGTCATCTCTGACTTAAGATTTAAGAAACATTGACTCCCCCCTCATCCCATACATGTTGGGATATCCAGTGTTCTCCCCAATATTGTTGAGGATTTTTGAAGGGTTTAGGTCTTTCTGAGTCACCTGTGGCCCCAAAGTTCCTGCTTTCTCTGAATTCTTGCCACCTTCTGTGTGTTTTGTCTTTTACGAGCGCCATTTCCTCCTACACACCATTTCCTCCTACACTGCATCGTGTTGTGGGACATCTGCAATTGTCTCATTTCCCTAAGTTTCAGTGTGCGCACGCATGCATGGCTGACTTTGCAGACTGTTTGGGGGCAGGGCATGATTAAATCACACCCCAACATTCCAGACAAGTTAAAATTGACATCCCTGTCCTTGAAAATCTCTCAACCGTTTGTGTTTGCTGGAAATGTCTACTCCTCCGCCAGGCCTCAGGGCTTTTCCTGTGCCTTCCATCTCCTCTTCTTACCTCTCTAGCTCTCTCAGCCCAACCCCCAACATTCTGGTTCCTATCTCATGCAAACTAACTAAACTAATTAGGTAAGTGCTGTCTCTTTGTTTGTCTTTTAGTTAGTTTTTCTTTTAGTTCAAAGGATGTTCTCAACTTAAGAGCATTTATTTTTTACTTAAATAAAACCAAACTTACAGAGAAGTTGCAAGAATAGTACAAGGAACTCTCATATATCCTTCACCCAGAATCCCTAATTATTGACATTTTGCCATGTTTGCTTTATCATTTCCTATCTTTTGTTTTTCTTGAACCATTTGAGAGTTAAGTTATAGACATGATGCCCCATTGCCCTTGAATACGTTAGTGCGTATTTTCTATAAACAGGTCCCTTTCGTACAGAACTGTAGGACAGCTATCAGAATCAGTGAACAATTTCTTCATCTGTCCCAACAATGTCCTCTATAGCAGCAGTTCCCCACCTTTTTGGCACCAGGGACCGGTTTCATGGAAGACAATATTTCCATGGGGGGTGGCGGAGCTCAGGCGGTGATGTAAGCGCTGGGGAGCAGCTATAAATACAGATGAAGCTCTGCTTCCTTGCCAGCTGCTCGCCCGCTGCTTGCTGTGCAGGGCAGTTCCTAAGCTTCATGGAAGACAATTTTTCCGTGGAATTAGGGTGGGAGGGGTAGGCAGAGCTCAGGCGATGATGTAGCCCAGTTCCTAACACCGGTTTGCGACCTGGGGGTTGGGGACCTCAACCCTGCAACTCTATAGGAAAAGGATCTAATGTGTTGTACCTAGTTCTGTCTTTTTAGTCTCTCCTTCAATCCGACACAGTTCCTTAGATTTTCCTGGATTTTTATGACCGTCCGGAGTACAGACCAGTTATTTTGTATAATGCCCTTCAATTTGGGTTTGTCTGACATTCCCTCATGGTTAAATTCAGGCTATGCACTTTTGGCAAGAGTATCACAGCAATGACCCTGTGTTCTTACCATGTCCTACCAGGTGGTATTCATTGATTCAGGTGACATTTGCTAGACTTCTCCACTGTAAAGTTACTCCTTTTAATCAATTGTGTGTGTGCATGTGTAGATACTTTGAGACTATATAAATATCCCGTTCCTCATCAAACGTTCACACATTAGTTTGAGCATCCATTATAATTCTTGCCTGAATCCGCCATTACTATGATGGTTGACAAATAATGATTTTCTAATTCCATCTGTCCTCTCCATTTATGAGGTGGTGTGACAATATGCCCCATTTGTTTTTTTGTTAGTTTGTATCAGTATCGACTTGTGGATTCATATTTTATTTAGTGGGTTATTGTCCATTACTCTTATCATTTGTTTTGATGCTCATCATATTGTCCTTGATTTTCACAGTGGGAGCCCCGTTTAGGCTGGCTTCTGTGTCTTTTTCATATGGCCCCGTCTTCCTTGGAACACTTCCTTACGTTCTGGGAAAATAAGACATTCCAGGCTCATCTTGTAGTTTTGCTTCCCAACCCTGGAATCGGATATTTCTTTCAGGAGTCTTGATTCCTTTTGGCAGGAAACAGTATTAGAAACCAAGATTTGGGCCTTTGGTGTGCTCATTTACTACTGGGGTGTTGCTGCTTCCAGGCTTCCTCAGTGGGTACAGCTAGAAAATCTGTGCATGTCACATGGCTTCTGTCACCCTCCCATGTCTGCTTACCCCTCCAGCCCCTGTTGGGTAACCCATCTCACTTGCCTCCCATTTGCTGTCAGTCCTGGCCCCCACTGGGCCACTGCCTTGTTCTGCCGTCTTCCTTGCTTGGAGCCAAACTCATAGGATGAAAGGAAGGAAGGCTCTTGAGATAATTTTGCTGATAATAAAGAAGTGTTTGTCTCTACTTTATATAATTAAGTGTAAATAATTTTAGCCATTGACATTATGACTTTAAATAGTTCTATGAGTAGAAAAATTTATTTTCTTTTCCTAATCATGCCAATGCCTATCTTTTCAACAGTTTGGGAGCTTCTGAAAGTAGAAAGTAAAGGCTGGGAAGGAGGTGGAGGAAGGCCAGGAGAGGTCCTTCCATGTGGGAAATGCCTGATAAGAAGTAGGGGTAGTGACACAGATGGGTGGAATTAAAAATACCAGGGACCCGAGGTTTCTTTATTCTTATTTTTCCTCCCCTTATATTTCTACTCTCAATTTCCAGTGGGAAAAAAAATTGTTTTTTGTTTCCTTTATTTTGATTATCTTGTACCTGATGGGAAAAGCACCACAGTTTAAGCTAATTCTCCACTTTGCTTATTTTTGAGTGGGGTTGGGGGAGGGACTAGTGGAAATGAGAGCTACAAAACTGTAGGAAGGAGCCACTGCAGAGTGGGGGGTTGGGGAGCAGAGACAGCTGGAGAAAGGGCTCAGAGGGACACGTGGAGGAAGGAAAAGGAGGGAGCGGGACAGGCGTGGAGGGGGGCTCTGCAGAGCGAATGGCTGGTGAAAAGGCATTTCAAGTGGCGTTGATTCATTCATCAGTGGTTTAATGGCCATTCTAGTATTTGCATCTTGGGCACTTAGGGGCAAAAGATGTTGGTAGAATTCTGTGTTCATTTTTTCAAAAAGCTACTTCTAGCCCAAGTAAATTAATTTCGACAATCTTCTGCTGTTTTTTGCTTTTAGGTGATGTGTATTCTGCCTTCTAATCAGAAAAACTATTATGATTCTATTAAAAAATATTTGAGCTCGGACTGCCCAGTCCCGAGCCAGTGCGTCCTCGCCCGGACCTTGAATAAACAGGGAATGATGATGAGTGTTGCCACCAAGATCGCCATGCAGATGACCTGTAAACTCGGAGGCGAGCTGTGGGCCCTGGAGATTCCTGTGAGGACCCTGTCACACTTTTCCTTTTAACAATCAATCAATCATTTTTTTTTTAAATTAAAGCAAAGTAGGAGGTATTATCACATGATCCCAGAATTATCTGATTTGTTTGTTGAGCCTCTACCCTGGGTTCTGGTGTCACACAAGCCAGTGGACACTCAGAAGAAGGTGGGGCACAACCCTTCTTTTCAGGGAACTTCAGTTAAGCTGCTAACTTAGAATATTTCATGGGAGAGAGTCGAGTTTGCCGCAGACTTAGAGGAACTGAATTTGTATCCTCACAGCTGCTATTTTAAACTCTGTGTCTCATGGTCTCCAGCTTTGCCTGCTTTCAGCAGGGTGCTGATTCTCAGAGCAGCCTTGTGCCCTGGGTGGGGCCTCCCCACAGCTTGGGGAACTGTTTTAGCCTGTGATCTGAACCTCCCAACTCTGGTGGGAACTTAGAAAATCCTCTGCTCTTTCCTGAATGGACTGTTGCCACCATGGGAGGAAGTGAGGAAAATGAGAAATGAGGGAGGGTTGCCCATTCCCCTGTACGTCCACAATCAGGATGAACGTGGTATCCCCAGCTGCACTGCGACCCGCTGCCCCGCCCTGCTGCCCCAGAGGTGGAGGTGCACAGCCAAGCGAGGCTTCCTTAAGGTCTGAAGGACGAGAGATGCAATTCCTCTTCAGATTCTCAGACCGGAGGTGAGGGAGGAGTGGACTGACCAGGTTCCCAGAATCTCTTTAGCCACTGGAACCCCTTGCCCACCCCCACAAAGGATGATGGCTATTTCGAACTATAGTGAGTCTCTTAAGCAAAGTATGTACCATATTTTCCCCTCTTTCTTTCAGTCTCTCTGGTTTCTGGTTTAATAATCTGCCTCATCTGGATCTTGATTTCCCTGACACGTAGCTTAATTTAAATAGTTTAGTAACTGGAGACAGTTTTTAAAAAAATACTTTATATTAAGTCATTGGGGAAATTATTCTTCACCCCATTAAATCAAGACAAATTTAATTTTATAGTTAAAGTCCCTGATGGTGGTCGGTATTGATGTCTGTAAAGATGCACTCAGCAAGGACGTGGTGGTTGGATGTGTGGCCAGCATTAACCCCAGAATCACCAGGTACTGTTAAACTACCCTAACATACTCTTCAGGTAGTTAGACAATTAACTGTGGTTTCCCTAAAGAACATAACAGCAAGGAATTGTTTGTGTTACTCATTCATATTTTAAACAGCAACACTTAACAGTCATAAATTACACTTACATATAAAAGTGTGATTGATAATATTGAGGTAATATGTAGCCTCATTTAAAAACTTTTTATTCATTCAGTAGGGCAAGCTATTGCTCATATTCCAGTTTTAGCTATTTGGGTTTTTTCTGTCATAAAAATGTTAGGATTGTTTTTTCTATTTCTGTGAAAAATGCAATTGGAATTTTGATAAGAATTGCATTGAAGTTTTAGGTTACTTTGTGTAGTATGGTCACATTAACAACAGTAATTCTTCCAATTCATGAACATGAGATATCTTTCTATTTATTTGTGCCATCTTTGATTTCTTTTATCAATGTTTTATAGTTTTTAGTGTGCAGATTTTTCACCACCCTGGTTAAATTTATTTTTAAATGTTTTATTCTTTTTGATGCTATTGTGAATGAGATTGTTTTCTTAATTTCTTTTCAGATAATTTGTCTTAGTGTATATAAACACAACTGATTTTTGTATGTTGATTTTGTATCTTGTAACTTTGTTTAATTTGTTTATTAATTCTAAGAGTTTTTTGGTAGAATCTTCAGGGTTTTCTATATATAAGATTATATTATCTGCAAACAGAGACAATTTTACTTCTTCCTTTTCAATTTGGATACCTTTTATTTCTTTTTCTTGTCTAATTGCTCTGGTTAGAGTTTCCAGTACTCTGTTGAATAGAGGTAGGAAAATGGACATCCTTGTTTTGTTAATGATCTTAGAAGAAAAACCTTTAGCGTTTCGCTGTTGTGTATGATGTTAGCTACGGGCTTGTCATATATGGTCTTTGTTGTGTTTAGGTACATTCCTTCTATACCTAATTTGTTGAGAGTCTTTGTCATGAAAGAATATTGAATTTTGTCATATGCTCTTTCTGCATCTATTGAGATGATCTTATGATTTTTTCCTTCATTCTGTCAATGTGATGTTTCACATTTATTAATTTACACATGTTGTACCATCCTTGATCCCAGGTACAGATCCTACTTGATTATGGTTATGATCCTTTTAATGTGCTGTTGAATTTTGTTTGCTAGTATTTTGTCAAGGATTTTTACTTCTGTGTTGATCAGATATTATAATTTCCAATTCATGTAGTCTCTTTGTCTGGCTTTGGTATTAGGTAATGTTGGCCTCATAAGATGACTTTGGAGGTGTTCCCTCTTCTTCAGTTTTTTAGAAGAGTTTGAAAAGGATTCATACTAATTCTTCTTTAAATGTTTGTTAGACTTCATCAGTGAAGCTATCAGGTTCTGGGCTTTTCTTCATTTGGAGATTTTGGATTACTTATTCAATCTCCATGCTCATTATTGGTCTGTTCTGATTTTCTATTTCTTTTCTTTTTTTTTTTTTTGAGACAGGTCTTGCTCTGTTGCTGATTCAATCTTGGTAGGTTGGATGTTTCCAGGAATTTAGCCATTTCTTTTAGGTTATCCAGTTTGTTGCTGTTTAGCTGTTCATAGTTGTCCTTATGATTTTTGTATTTTTGTAATATTCACTGTAATGTCTCATTTTTTTCATTTCTGATTTTATTTGAGTCTTGTCTCTCTTTTTTAAAATTACAATTGTCCCTCAGTATCCACAAGGGATTGGTTCAAGGACCCTCTATAGATACCAAAATCTGAAGATGCTCAAGTTCTTCAGTCAGTCCTCCTCTTTATTTCCAGATGAGTTCCACATCTAGAGATTCAAGCAACCATGCATCAAAAAAGACTGTTGAAGATACTGTTGTTTGAATCCTTGATGTAGAACCCATGGATAAGGAAGGCCAGCTGTAGTTAGTCTAGCTAAAGGTTTGTCAATTTTATTTATCTTTCCAAAATACCATCTCTCAGTTTTGTTGATTTTTTTCCTATTGTTTTTCTAACCTTTATTTTATTTATTTCTGCTCTGATCTTTATTTTTTTCTTCCTTTTGTTAACTTTTTTTTTTTTGAGACAGAGTCTCACTCTGTTGCCCGGGCTAGAGTGCCGTGGCGTCAGCCTAACTCACAGCAACTTCAAACTCCTGAGCTCAAGCGATCCTCCTGCCTCAGCCTCCCAAGTAGCTGGGACTACAGTCATGTGCCACCATGCCCGGCTAATTTTTTCTATATATTCTTAGTTGTCCAGCTAATTTCTTTCTATTTTTTCAGTAGAGACAAGGTCTAGCTCTTGCTCAGGCTGGTCTTGAACTCCTGAGCTCAAACGATCTACCCGCCTTGGCCTCCCAGAGTGCTAGGATTACAAGCGTGAGCCATCACGCCTGGTCCCTTTTGTTAACTTTGAGCTTAGTTATTCTTTTTCTGTTTTTTTGAAGTAAAAATTTAGATTGTTCATTTGAGAGCTTTTTTTTTTCTTCATATAGGCATTTATCACTACAAACTTTCATCTTCGAGCTGCTTTTGTAGATCCCGTAAGTTTTGGTATGTTGTGTTTCCATTTTTGTCTGTCTTAAGGTACTTTTTACTTTCTTTTTTGATTTCTTCTTTGATCTGTTGGTTATTCATGGGTGTGTTGTTTAATTTCCACATATTTGCAAATTTCCCAGCTTTCCTGTTATTGATTTCTAGTTTCATACTATTGTGGTCAGACAAGATGCTTGATATAATTTCAATCATCTTAAATTTGATAAGACTTGGTATTATTTGTCCTGGAGGATGTTCTGTGTTTGCTTGAGCAGAATATATATTCTGCTGCTGTTGGATTAAATCTTCATGTGGTCTAAAGTGTCAATCAAGTCCAGTGTTTCTTTACTGATTTTCTGTCAGGATAATCTATCCTATATTGAAAGTAGTGTATTGAGGTCCTCTACAATTATTGTATTGCTGTCTATTTCTCCCTTCAGATGTTAATATTTGATTTATATATTTAGGTGCTTTGATGTTGGGTGCATAAATATACTTAGAATTGATATATCATCTTGATGAATTGACCCCTTTATTGTTGTACTATGACTTTCTTTGTCTTTATGAGTTTTTTAACAAAAGTCTATTTTGTCCAAGTTTAGTTACCCCTGCTCTCTTTTGGTTTCTAGTTGCATGGAATATTTTTTCATCCCTTCACTTTTTCTATCTGTGTCTTTAAATTTGAAGTGAGTCTCTTGTAGGCAGCATGTACTTGGGTCTTTGTTTTTATCTATTTAGCCACTCTATGTCCTCTGGTTGGAGAATTTAATCTATTTACATTTAAAATAGTTATTGACAGATAACAACTTACTGTTGCCATTTTGTTCATTGTTTTCTGGCTCTTTTGGAGATCGTTTGTCTATTTTTTTTCTTGCTGTCTTCCTTTAGGATTTGATGGTTTTCTTTAATGGTGTGCTTGATTCCTTTCTCTTTATCTTTTGGGTATCTGCTGTAGGTTTTTGCTTTGTCATCATAAGGCTTACGTAAAATGACTTATAGTTATAATAGTCTATTTTAAGCTGATAATAATTTAACTTCCATCACATACAAAAACTTCGTTTGTACTTCCTCCCCCACATTTTATGGTTTTGATGTCACAATTTACATCTTCTTATATTGTATATCCATTAACAAATGATTATAGCTGTAGTTATTTTAAATGCTTTTGTCTTTTAAACTTATGCTAGAGTTATAAAAAATTTAGACACCACCATTATAGTATTATTCTGAATATAACTATATACTTACTTTTGTTAGTGAGTTTTACACTTTCATATGTTTTCATGCTACTAATTAGCATCCTTTCATTTCAGCTTAAAGGACTTTTTTTTCTTTTTCTTTTTTGTAAGGCAGGCCTAGTGGTGATGAACTTCCTCAACTTTTGTTTGGGAAAGTTTTTATCCCTTTTTTATTTCTAAAGGACAGCTTTGTCAAGCAAAGTATTCTCGGCAGTTTTTTCTTTCAGCACATTAAAAAAATATGTATCATTCCACTTCCCTGGCCTGTAAAGTTTCTGATGAGAAATCTGCTGAGAGCCTGTGGGGGTTCCCTTGTATATGATATGGTGGCACATGACTGTAGTCCCAGCTACTTGGGAGGCTGAGGCAGGAGGATCGCTTGAGCTCAGGAGTTTGAAGTTGCTGTGAGTTAGGCTGACGCCACGGCACTCTAGCCCGGGCAACAGAGTGAGACTCTGTCTCAAAAAAAAAAAAGTTAACAAAAGGAAGAAAAAAATAAAGATCAGAGCAGAAATAAATAAAATAAAGGTTAGAAAAACAATAGGAAAAAAATCAACAAAACTGAGAGATGGTATTTTGGAAAGATAAATAAAATTGACAAACCTTTAGCTAGACTAACTACAGCTGGCCTTCCTTATCCATGGGTTCTACATCAAGGATTCAAACAACAGTATCTTCAACAGTCTTTTTTGATGCATGGTTGCTTGAATCTCTAGATGTGGAACTCATCTGGAAATATAGAGGAGGACTGACTGAAGAACTTGAGCATCTTCAGATTTTGGTATCTATAGAGGGTCCTTGAACCAATCCCCTGTGGATACTGAGGGACAATTGTAATTTTAAAAAAGAGAGACAAGACTCAAATAAAATCAGAAATGAAAAAAATGAGACATTACAGTGAATATTACAAAAATACAAAAATCATAAGGACAACTATGAACAGCTAAACAGCAACAAACTGGATAACCTAAAAGAAATGGCTAAATTCCTGGAAACATCCAACCTACCAAGATTGAATCAGCAACAGAGCAAGACCTGTCTCAAAAAAAAAAAAAAAGAAAAGAAATAGAAAATCAGAACAGACCAATAATGAGCATGGAGATTGAATAAGTAATCCAAAATCTCCAAATGAAGAAAATCCCAGAATGATAGCTTCACTGATGAAGTCTAACAAACATTTAAAGCTTCTTGCTGCTTTTAATATTCTGTCTTTGATTTTTGACAGTTTGATTGTAATGTGTCTTAGTGAATTCTTCTGTAGGTTGAACCTGTTTTGGAACTCTTGAGTTTCAGGTACCTGGATGCCCCCATCTCTCCCCAGATTTTAAAAAGTTTTAAGCCATGATTTATTTAAATAATCCTTCTGCCCCTTTCTCTCTCTTTTTTCCTTTTGAAACTCCTATAATGGGAATGATAGCTCTCTTGATGGGGTCCTGGAAATTCCATAGGCTTTCTTTTCATTTCATTTGATTCTTTTCCTCTATGAATGGATATTTTCAAATGGCCTGTCTTCAAGTTCACAGATTCTTTTACTTGATCAAGTCTGCTGTTGATGCTCTCTATTGCATTTATATAATTTATTTTATTCTTCAGCTCCAGAATTTCTGTTTGGTTCTTTTTTGTAATTTCTGTCTCTTTATTGAAGTTCTCGTTTTGCTTATGTATTGTTTTTCTAACGTCATTGACTGGTCTGTGTTCCTGTATGGCTTGCTGAACTTCTTTAAAATAAGTATTTTGAATTTTTTGTCAAGCAGTTCATATATCTCCATTTCTTTGGGGTTGGTTACAGGAATATTATTGTGTTCCTTTGGTAGTGTCATATTTACTTGATTTTTTTCATGTTCCTTGAATTCTGCATTGCTATCTTTTCATTTGAAAAATGTCACTTCCTCTAGTCTTTACTGGCTAGCTTTGGGAGAGAAGAGCCTTCACCAGTCAGCCCAGATAGAAATTCTGAGGTTCTCTCACGCCTTTTCTATGGATGTGCCCATTCCACACTTCTTGTTTCCTCTTGAGGGGAATTCTTAAAATTGCATGTATTCTCTCAGTCCCACAAAGCCAGGCCAGGTGCTGAGAGGCTCCCATTTTTTTCCCTAGGGTGGTGTCCTGAAATGCTAATTTGTGTGTCTTCTCCCAATCCTGCAGAGCCGAGCTAGCTGTGTGAGATGCTTGCACTTTCTGTCTGCAGGGGCATGTTTGGGCAGCCAGCATGGGCAGGGTTGGTGGTGAGATGCATGGAGCATTTGGGGTGCCTGTTGATCAACTGGGTGATCTATAGGCAAGGCATCCTAAGCCACCTATGGGTGAGCTTCTTGATGGCATTTATGGAGTGGTTAGTAGGGTCTGCAGTTTCTCTTCCTTATTCCCAGACTCTCCCAACCTCTCAGCTGTGCTGATTACTTTGGTGTTGTGGGTGAGGCAAGAAAGAAGTGAGCAGCCTGTAGCTCTTGGGTAGCAGCCTGTATGGCTGGGGGAGCTGAGTGCTCACTTACTACATTCTCACTTTCACCCAAAAATCGTGGGCTGAGATGGAGGGGTCTCTCTTGGCACTGAATTGTGTCACCCTGGGGGAGGAATGACACAGGTAAAGTGAATCCATTTGTGTGACCCTCTTTAGTGCATTTGTTCTTGGATATTTTACTTCAGTGGTGTACTAGAACTTCTCCATTGGGCTCCTGGACTCCCACAGAGGTACTCTTATCCCTGGGTAGTTGTCAAAACTGATGGCCTGAAGAGGAGATGATGGCAGAAAGCTCCTATTCTCGGCCTGGCGCGGTGGCTCATGCCTATAATCTTAGCACTCTGGGAGGCCGAGGGGGGAAGGATTGCTTGAGTTCAGGAGTTCGAGACCAGCCTGAGCGAGAGTGAGACCCCATCTCTACTATAAATAGAAAGAAATTAGCCAAACAACTGAAAATAGAAAAAAAAAATTAGCCGTTCACGGTGGCATGTGCCTGTAGTCCCAGCTACCTGGGAGGCCGAGACAGGAGGCTGGCTTGAGCCCAGGAATTTGAGGTTGCTGTGAGCTAGGCTGACGCCACAGCACACTAGCCCAGGCAAGAGAGTGAGACTCTGTCTCAAAAAAAAAAAAAAAGAAAGAAAGAAAGCTCCTATTCTGCCATCTTGCTGACATCACTCAGGACTTCCAGTTTGTTAGCAGCATTCCTAATTATGTTACTGTCTTTTTTTTTTTTTTTTGCTTTTTTAGAGACAGGTCTTATTATGTTGCTTAGACTGGAGTGCAGTGGTTAGTCACAGGCATGGATCAGAACACCGTGAACTCCTGAGCTCAGGCAATCCTCCTGCCTCGCCTCCCAAGTAGCTGAGACTACAGGCATGCACCTTGCTGTGTTACTATTGTTGCATGTGTTTAGAGAACTATAATAATGTTGGCACATACTCACCACTAAATCATTATCTTCATTTTCAAAGTGCTTTTAATTAAATAATGGCTTTAGCAAGAGAACTTTCTTCTGAAATCTAGATAACTTAATTAAGATTTCAAATTTAAAAGGCTTACCTATAGAAATGGAAGTTTATGCTTGAGAAATCTTTGAATATTTTGAAATTAGAAGATCTGCTAAATCAATACATTCCTTTATAAAAATATTATAGTGGCTTCTATTTATTAGTGTTAACTATTAGTACTGTGCAAAGTATTTTATATCTATTCCTAACTTAATTTTTTTTTTTTTTTTTTGAGACAGAGTCTCACTCTGTTGCCCTGGCTAGAGAGTGAATGCCATGGCATCAGCCTAGCTCACAGCAACCTCAACCTCCTGGGCTCAAGTGATCCTACTGCCTCAGCCTCCTGAATAGCTAGGACTACAGACATGAGCCACCATGCCCGGCTAATTTTTTCTGTGTATTTTTAGTTGTCCAGATAATTTCTTTCTATTTTTTTTTAGTAGAGATGGGGTCTCGCTCTTGCTCAGGCTGGTCTCGAAATCCTGAGCTCAAACGATCCACCCACCTCGGCCTCCCAGAGTGCTAGGATTACAGGTGTGAGCCACCGCGCCCGGCCCCTAACTTAATTTTTACCGCAATGCTGTAAGGTAGCATTACTATCTTATAAATCTCCTTGGTACAGATGAGGAAACTGAGACTTAGGTTTGCATAGCAAAGTGACATGGCTGGTAAGTATACTGGCCAGGATTTGAACCTAGATATGTCTGATGCTAGCATGGTGCTTTAGTTTCTCTTTTCAATAAATTGTGATCACATAGCATATACAAAATTATGAACATTGATTTTTAATCACAATGTCTATTTTTTAATTTAATATTAATGACTGCTTATAGTAGAAATTTTGAAGTTGAACTCTATTTTTGTCCTTTGCTTACTTTAGGTGGTTTTCCCGCTGTATCGTTCAGAGAACAGTAACGGATGTTGCAGATTGCTTAAGAGTTTTCATGACTGGTACTAAAAATATAGCAATGTGGGTGGGCTCCAAGGACGGTTGCTTCAGACCCAAAGTCCCCATGCTTATAGCAGACCACATAGGTGGAAGCAAACTCCCCAAGCCTGTCTGTGTTACCTGTCACCTGGATCCCCAAAGCTGTGTGCTGACTCAGGCTAACAGACTGTGTAGCACTTACATTTATTTGTGTGTGATAAACATAAAGCCAGGAGGAAGGAAAATTTGTGGCTGCTGATGTCTCTGGCAAGCAGTGTGAAGATCAAGAGAAACCTACCCTGGAGGAACTAGAGTTATGATAGAGCAGTGTTAAATCTAGACATAGGAGAGAAGCCTTTGGGACTAGGCTGGGAGTGCTAACAGGTAAGGGGGGCAGAGCAGGAGAAGATGAGGAAGAAAGCAGATGAGGAAGGGCATCCTATTCACAGTGCGAGGCTATGGAAAGACAGATCTAGGGTTTCTGCTTCCTCACCAGCCCTGGCCCGGGTCTGGCTTTGCTATTCTCTAGCAGTGTGACTTATGCAAGTACCTCCTTTTTGTGATCTGCTTTTTCCCATCTATAAACTTTGGGGGGTTGTAAATATTTTTTTCCTAAAAAAGTGAATTTGGTGATCCGTGTTGATAATGAACTTACATATATGATTATCTTCTATCAAATTAAAATGAATTTCCCAGACAATAAACTCTTCCAAAATAATTGTGCAATATATACATGAGAAGAATTATTCCATTCTTTATTTTCCCCTCACTTCACAACTTGGTAATTTTTTTTAGCAGTTGTTATTAAAAGTTTCTGCTGGGTGAAAGTTACAGTCTGGTGTCTCTGCTCTTTAGAGACTTTCTAGTTAGAGTGGGTGGAAATGTTTTCAGAGTTCATATCCTCAGTGAGAACAGGAATCAGTTGGGTGAGTCTGTGTGAAGAGATGTTTTCAGAGGAATGGCCAAGTCATTCCCTTGTATTTTCATATTTATTCTCATTAGGGAAGAAAGTGCCATAAAATTATCTAGTTCAAAACTATTGAGAGGATTTAAAGACTTGAACACACTAAATTAGTATTAATTTGGTTTTAGGCATTTGTATGTCTGTTGCATGAATTAAATTTTAATTTATTGCTTAAAGTTTTACTAAAGAGATATGCCAAGTTTAAGATATATTATGCCATAGAAACCCTTATGGTTCCCCAAATAGCAGAGACAAAGGAATACTCCCTAAAGTTACCCATTTTTATATTATTGCAAATATAACCAAAATCAGGTATTACCCTATTTTGGAGTGGTTTGAAATAGCAAACCTATTTAAACATTGCAGTATATGGGAATGCTATTTTTTTCTTGGCATTGCATAAGTCATTCTTTCCTTACTAACACCAAATTCTGCAGGAGCACTCAACAAATGGTACAAGTACAATCATGATTTGCCAGCACGGATAATTGTGTACCGTGATGGTGTCGGGGATGGCCAGCTGAAAACACTTGTTGAATACGAAGTCCCACAGCTGCTGACCAGTGTGACAGAAGCCAGCTCAAATACCAGGTATTCAATTATTGTTCTTTCCTCCACACTCCCAATTACAGCACATTCAGTGTAACAATTATACACAAGGTAGGAGAGCATAACTTTTATTTTTAAAGCAGTTAAGTTTTTCTCTGTCTCTGCATCATGCCAGTAGAGCTGTATGAATTTCCCTTAAATTGGAGGGTAGTCGGGATGGTCTAACATAAATAGCCTGGGTGGTGTAAGCCTTGGGAGCCCTGGTGGGGAAACCTGGAGGGAGGAAGGAATGCTTCAGAGCATCTGACACTGAAATTCAGCAGGAAAGCTGCAGGGCTGCTGGCAAGTGCAGATGCTTCTTACATACTAACACGCCATGGAAGAAAACAAGCCGTGGTTTAAATTTGAGGCCCCAGTCGACATACAGAACCGAAGCCTCTGAATTGCAGGTACTGACGTGCATTTAAGGTCTATGGAAGGTTCTCAAAAGGGTCTGAGTACCATGAAAGCTGAGCTGCAGATGGAAATCAGATCATCTTAAACACCAAGCACCTTCCTCTGTTGTTACATTTTAAAATTCGGTGTGTCAGTACAAAATTTGCCTCAGTGATTATGTGAAGTGGCAAGTGCAAAAAATATTAAAAATGGTAAATGGGGAAGGACACTAATCCTAAATTGGCTCCTAAAAATATCCGGAAAGTATCTTATTCTAAGCTGTACACAGAGCTCCATCTGTAGGGTGACACCACTGTCACCACCATCATCCAAAGCATCGTGGCCACAAGTCACAAAGGAGCTGAGTCTTGACCTCAGTCCTTTACTGTTAGAGAGGGAGGAAAGCCTAATAGCTTCATGGCAATGTCACCTGCGGCTTCATCCACGCTGTGGGAGCCAAAATGTCTCGCTCCACTGACATCAGGTGAATATATTAAGAATCCCAAGTAGGCAACTGAGGGCTGCAGGAGCAAACTGAACAGCTGGCAGTGCAAAGGAGTTACTTTTCTTGCACCATAACATCAGCTTCAATATTGAAAACATCCATAAAATTTAAAAAATTAATTATAATTCTTAACATGAAACTTCACAGTGGTTCTTACATCCCAGAGGTTCCTTCCATGATGGCGAATATTTGGATTCGGTCTTGCTTTGTGGAATCTTTAACACTTGGCCATTCAGCATTTGGCCAGAATGGATATTTAGTCCATCTATTTGTCCACCCGGGCATGAGTTTTGCATGATTCGGAAAGGAGGATTTGAGGAGTAAAAGGAACTTGTGCTTCTCCCTTCGCTACTCAGAAATAAAATTGAGAGAAAGAGTGAAGGTGAAAATAGGGTGACTGTTGCTAATGAAAACAATAAATCTGGTCTCCATGGATAATTTTCGAAAATCTTCAAAATTGCTAACCGAAGCTCATAGTCCTATTAACCATTCTTTCCTGCCCCGCTTTAGATGATGTAAAGTAGGCAAATGACTTGGCATAGCACACTTTGGCAATAAATGAGGACCATCCCTAATTTAAAAAATTGTATGTATCTCTAGGGATTGTAGGTGATTTTTATTTTATTTGTTTTGTGGTGTTTTTCTAATGATTTTCTATTTATTTCATTTTTAAAATTATAAAAAAAAAAATAGAAAGCCGCATGGATTGGTTTCCGTTCTCTTTTTTATTTCCTGCCTCTCTGATTCCAAGCTCCAGACTGTCAGTGATCGTGGTCAGGAAGAAGTGCATGCCACGATTCTTTACAGAAATGAACCGCACTGTACAGAACCCCCCGCTTGGCACTGTCGTGGATTCAGAAGCAACGCGTCCAGAATGGCAAGTGCCATTGGAAAATCCATTTTTAACAAAACATTCAGTGTGTGTTGCTTAGGTTTGTCCTTGCTGTTTGCCTTCTTTCCCACATTCATTCCATTTCCCCCTCAGGTATGACTTTTACTTGATCAGCCAGGCAGCCCGTCAGGGAACTGTTAATCCCACCTACTATAATGTTATCTATGATGACAATGGCTTGAAACCCGACCACATGCAGAGACTTACCTTCAAACTGTGTCACCTGTACTACAACTGGCCGGTGAGTGAAAGCTGTTTACTTATGTAAATGTGATACTCAGGATTCCCACCTAGGAATTGTCATGCAATTCACCTGGTATCCCTGGGTAACAGCACAATACCTGACTTTGTCAAAGGAGGAATGAATGAATGAATAAATGGCCACTTAAGTCCACAGTGGGAGGAACCAGTTTGTTATAGAAATAAAATAGCAATGACTATTACAATAGATTAATATTTATAGTTTCTAGAGGACTTTATTATATACATTATCTTATGCAAGCCTGAGAAGAAATCAGGGTATTATTATTTATGTGTTAAAGATGAGGAAGTTGAAGCCAACTTACATCTTGTGCCTAGTGGGAAAGTGCTAACAGGCATGGCTCTGTCCTGTGTTCCTGTGTGTTAGGTCTAGAGCTGCTCTCAAAGTCTAAGGCCAAGGTTTGTTCTGAGCCCCTCGGAGCATGAGGTCATGGAAACAGATTAGCCCTAAATTGGATGGCTCCCAGCTGCCAGCACCACAAAGCCAAAGTGACCTTCCATTCCATCTTCCCCAGTGAGCTTAAGTTCCCAATGAGGGAGGTTGCCCTTCATTGGTTGAGTTTTGTTATTGTTTACCCAGAAACCCATTCTATTGTCTGTGTAACCAGTAGATGAAAAAACTCAGAAAAAAAAATCACTTAGAAGAACAAGTTATCCTCTTGCTTATTGTCAATACTTTTTCCTCCTCAGGGCCTAGTCAGTATCCCAGCACCATGTCTGTATGCACACAAGCTGACCTTCCTGGTGGCACAAAGCATTCATAAAGAACCAAATTTGCAATTAGCCAATTCTCTCTTCTACCTGTGATGACACGAACCAGTGGCATCTGTGAATGAAGAATCCAAGGAATAGTTGGTATACTTTGTGCAAATCTACCATGAGCTCAGGGCTGTGACTGGGGAAAGGAGATTGAGTTTAGTCTCAACTATTGGGGAAAAAAAGCAAAACAACTTAATCTGAAACCGTTCGAAAGAATTGCATGTTATTTTATTTTAAAGAGTTATATGCTGGAGGTAGATTCTCATTGTGGTATATGGAATTAAAGTATTCCATCACCTATAAAGAATTACACAGAGTTAAATATCTTCTAAGAAAATAAATGTTTATACCATGTTGTAGTTGGGTTCTACTAAAAAAAGAAAAGAAAAAGAAAAGTGTGTGATATTTTGATGGTAGATAAACGGAGTCTAATTCTCACCCTAAATTTTGCATAAATAAATGTTATAGAGCATTTTGTAGAGTCGTTTAAAGAGTTATTAGAAAATAAAGTTAAGAGCATCACATATGTGCTTGTTGTTATTTGAATTTTAAGTTGACATTACATGTGAACTTCACCATTTAAGTATTTTCAGCAAAGACTCTTACCCATTAGACCATATCACCACCAATCTTTTAGTTCTGTTCTGAATCTGAACTTATCACTTGCTCTCTTGATGGGACTTTATTTCACTAAATAGCAGCTACTCTTAGTGATGATCTTGTTTTCTACTCATGAGAAAGCAGAAGCTATCAAAAGAGAACTTTCACAGGCTCTACATCTTCCTTCACCTAAGGGTATCTGTGCTCATAGACCCTGCCCGGACCTCCCCTCGTTACTGTAAATACACCACATCTGTGCTCCTATAAGGCTCCGTACTAAATCCTGTTCCCTGTGACCTATGAAGGTTGCTGCTCTAGCCATCCTCTTTCTCCTTTCTGCATCGTCAGTTTTTCTCTCACTACGGGATCATTCCCGTTGACACTATAAATACGCTGTTATTTCTCCCATCTTAAAAGGGAAACCATCTCCCCCTCCAACCACCACCCCATTTCTTTGCTCCTCTTTACAGAAAAACATCTCAAAAGAAGAGTCTGTACTTGAGGTATCCAATTCTTTACTCTAGTTAGAATTTCACGGCAACCACTACATCAAAATCGCCTTAGTCCAGGCCACCGATGCCCCCCACTTTGCTAAATCCAGTAGTCAGCTCTCAGTCCTCATCTTACTCAACCCAGTCGATCATTTCCCCCTCTAAGACACTCTTTTCTTGGCCTGTACGATAATAACACACTCTCCTGGTTTGTCTCCTACTGCATTGATCACTCATGTTCAGTCTCCTTTTCTGGCTCCTCGTCTTCTCTCCCTTTTCACACTGGAATGTCCCAGGAATGAGAATACGGCTACATGCAACAGGTATTTTGATGACGGAAAGATCAGAGCTCCAAATTCTGCTTGCCGAGGAAAAGTGATGTGGATGGCTGTGGCAAAGAGTGGTGGGGACAGCAGCGGGTCCTCTCTGGGGACGAGGGAGCAGGGGTGTTAATAAGCTCCAGGCAAGCACTTCACACTTGATCTCGGTAACAACTGTATGAATTTGGCTTTTACAGATGGCTTTTACAGATGATAAAACTGAGGATTAAAGATGCCATGTGATTCACCAAAGTTTATGGGATTAATAAATTGTGGAGCTAGAATTTGTCCTCCAGTTTGTTTGACTTGCAAAACCTGTGAGATGAACCACAAGATTCTGCTGCCTTAATGAAAGAGACTCTTAAGGTTTAAAAAATTTCTCTCAGAGTTCTAATATGAGGGAGTGCCTTATATGATTTAAAGTTGGTGTTATATAGCAAGTCTTTGGAGGCGAGGCAGGGTTCCAGTTCAGGGGGGTGGTTTTTGTTTTTGTGTTGATGTTGTTTTCTTCCATCAAAGTACAAGGGTGATGTAGAGCATCACTATAAGTCTACGTGCTGCATTTTTTTTTTTTTTTTTTTGAGACAGAGTCTGGCTCTGTTGCCCAGGCTAGAGTGCCGTGGCATCAGCCTAGCTCACAGCAACCTCAAACTCCTGGGCTCAAGCGATCCTCCTGCCTCAGCCGCCCGAGTAGCTGAGACTACAGGCATGCACCACCATGCCCAGCTAATTTTTTCTCTATATATATTTTTAGTTGTCCAGATCATTTCTTTCTATTTTTTAGTAGAGACACCCGCCTCGGCCTCCCAGAGTGCTAGGATTACAGGCGTGAGCCACCATGCCCGGCCTATGTGCTGCATTTTGGTTAGGCAATACGAAGGCCTGTAGAGCTGCCTACCCTCTTATTTGCCAAGTACTGCTGGAGGTAACGAATGACTCCTTACCATTTTATCCCACAAGGGGGCACTGACGGACTGTTGTATGAGCAGAGTCCTTGAGCAACAAATAGTGGTAAAAGAGTCAACTTAAGAAAACTCCCAGAGGGCACCACAGGACTTAGAAATCTTCATTTGAACTCCTTTTTCCAACATGTTTAGTTGTTGGAGGTGATAACTTCCTTCCCTGGGACTCAGTTACCCAATCTGTAATATGAAAAGGGGTTAGACCAGACCAGTGGTGCTCAGCCATGGGAATATTAGAACTTCCCACATTAAAAAGCTTTAGAAAAGAATACAGATGCCTGGGCCCACCCCCTAAAATACTGACTTAACTGGTCTGGGATGAGGCCTGATCATCTGAATATTTTTAAAGTTCTCCAGATGGTTCTGATGTTTAGCCAGGGTTGAGAACTACTGGTCTCGTTATCTAAAATCCATTTCAAGCTCTCACATTATGTGATTGCCACCTAGCACCTACATTAAATAGATTTTCTTATTAAAGCCACCAACGACAAAGAGGAGAGGGCGCATATTCCAGACTTCAGGGAGGTACTGGATTTGAACCCTAGAACTGCCACTTAGTAGTTATGTGACCTTGGACAAGTTACTTAACCTCTCTTAACCTTGTTGTATCTACTTGTAAAAATGCCTAACAATGTTGGATTAGATAAATCTAAAGTATCTGGCTTTAATGGAGAGTATCTTATTATTATACCTGATGAAAGGAAAAGAATCAAATGACGCAATTTAGTTCACAAATATTCATGGGTGCATATTATATGTCACACATGCACTGGATTCTGAATTCTACAATTCTGCTTAAAGGAAAGCTTAATATTTTCTCTGGGTATAAACAATCACTTGCTCTATTGTAGAGAAGATTTTCTGGGTTAGCTTTTATTTTGGGGTGTGGGAAGGAAATCCTGGAAGAAAGTATACTTTAAATACACTTCTGTGGCCACCATAGAGGTGCCTCAATCAGATCTTCCTTTAAAAGAACCTTCTGCAAGGAACATATTGGCTGAGAGCGTCTAAGTGCTACACCTTCAGGATCCCCGCAGGGGTGATGTTGAGACCATGCCCTCCCCAGGCTGTTGCCAGCCCCTGACTGAGCACAGCAGAGGCAATAATTTAGGTTGTTGCTGCCCAGCGTGGGACTGCACCATCGGGCAGTCTTTGATAGGGGAATCCTCTTTCATGTGACCAAGGCTTTCTCACAGCTGCATTGTAGTTTTGTACTAACCCTCCTTCCTTTCCTCTCTCCTTTCATGGATGTCAGACTGGCATCAAGGTCTTAAGGCTCGCCGTATCAACTCCTACTTTCTCTCACCTGTATCCTTCACATGTGTTTCTCCCAATACATCTCCGGAATATCTCATTCTGTCTTGTCTACTTCTTGGGGGACCCAAGTTGACACAATTTCCTTCACCATTAAGTCATTCTGTGATTTTTGGTTAAAGTAAGTCTATTTTTAGTCTTAAGCTTTCCATTGACCAAAACTATTTACCTACAGGTGTCATAACCTTTAAATATTGGGTTCTGAGTTAGCAATTTCCCATGGAAAAGTTTACTTTTAAACTTTTCTAACACACTTCAAGATCTCAGACATGAAATGTAAACAGCTTTGGAGAGCCGTTGTCAAATGCCTGCATTTTGTTGCTCAGATTAACCTGCTTTGCGCTTTCATCTGACCCAGTGCCGGCTGGTCGAGAATAACCCAATAGCCCCTACTGAAAAGATGAGGAAAGGACTTATTTTGAAGGCAGAGAAGATGAAAAGGCCTGAAGAATTTATGACTGGGTCAAGATCCTTCCAATTTATTGAGAATTTTTAAAATCATTAATTTAAAAATTATAAAAATAACATGTACATTATGGAATATTTGGAAGGTATGGAAAAGAATAAAGAGGTAGGAAAAAAATCACCAATACAGCTACTACCCAGAAGTGTATACTGTTAACACTTTGATATATATTTTTTTTCTAGTCTGTCAGTTGTACCATACATATATAGTTTTATATACTTTATGATTATGGCATATGTATTTTCCTATTTTATTAAAAAAATTTTAGAAAGTTTTAATGACTGAATATTTTACTGCACAGATGTAACAAATTATTTTCTCCCCTCTTTATTGTATCTCTAGGCTGTTCCCAATTTATCTGTGCTATAAAAATATGGCATAAAGGGTTTTTTTCCCCCAGGTAGTTGGGATTGGTTCCTTGGGTTAGATTCTTAAAAGTGAAATTACTGAGTCAAAAAATTAGAATAATTTTAAGGTGCTTGGTATGTATATTGCTAATTTTTTAAAAAAAACTCGTCTTAGGCTCTTACAGTAGCACCCTAGTAAACTGCATATTCCCATTAAAATAAAAAATCTTTGCTATAGATGCTAGATTAATGTTTTTATTAGTATGTATTTATTAGTAAAGGGAAATAATTTGATACTGTTTAGTAGTCATTTGTAATTTTTGTTTGTGTTTTTTTAATCAATTTCTGTGAGTCTTTTGTATTTTAAAAATAGTCACACTTTGTCATCCGTCTATAGCTATGTCTCCCAATTTACTACTGGCTTTCAAATTTTGTTTATGTTGCTTTTTTAGACACAGACATTTAGAGTTGATATATTCAAATTATCACTATTTCCTTCAAAATTATGAAAGAAGAACTCGAATTTAAAGCATAGAAAATCTGTTCTC